CGACTTCGCTATTATGAATTTGTATATCTAGAATGAATAAGATCTATTCATTAACAAATTTTATCGCAATAAAAGTTACCGGAACGCAAATAGTAATAAGCGAAATTATCCTTTTCAGAGCGAATCTTCCATTGTGGATGCGTAAATCGGAAGCTCAAATAATGTATTGATTTCTTACAAACATTTTACACAATATGTAATAATTTTGTCACTCCTTCCATTTTGATACCTTTGTAATATTGATGTTTACATATTATAATTTGAAAGAAAGAGTTTAACTGGATTCAAAAGAATATTTCATAATTATAATCAGAAGAAATATTTTGTCTCATTTTATCAAATTTGTAAGAGCAAGTAATAAGTTCCTGTACGTGTTCATAAGTATTTAAATTTCAGAGTTTTATTTAATGCTCCGATTAATGTTCTTGTTGTTGCTAATGCTCACTTGCCTGACCTATAGTCAGGTTTCGCCTGTCGTTAGCAACAAACAACATTGAGCATCTTACAGGTGATAGTGCGATTTAGCTCACCTACAACCAACCTCTCGAAAACGCTTTCGGCTTGCCTAATATTTAGAGTACCGCATGCCGCACGGACACTATGATTTACAAACATCCATGCCTTCTCCGGAATTCGAACCCGGCCCACCATACTGGTTAGGCGGCGTTCCAATTAATGATTTGTAAAATTTGCAGCTTAATTGAAACGCCACTTAATTGTGCGTTTTCACATCTCTTGAAATTTCAAAATTAGAGGAGGAAGTTTAATTATCGTACTATATAGAATAAGTACAGTGTTTAAATCCTAAATAAACTACACAGATATTTATCATATACATAAACTGCATAGCTATTGCTAATTGTAATACCTACGTCTAATTGAGAGATTTCATTTTGTGCTTGTATCCACTACACTGATCGCTGGCATACCTAAGCACCAATTGGTAACAAGTAATCTCGCACCACCCCTTTTGGAGCACGTCATTTCTCTTACCACCTTACTCTCTTTGTCTCTCTGTATATGGAGTGATTGGCAATCTGAATAAGAGGGCAAACTTGAAGTATTGAGAGAAGGCAGCTATACGTGCAATATTCATCATAGAATGTATGATCGGACCGCAAAGGGGGATCCGCTAGGTTGCATTGTAAATAAATGGTATAAAAAAGGGTCGGACCTCGCACACAAAGGCATTTTCTACCGCGGATTGCCGAGAAGATTGCTAGTTATATTAACCATGAAATTTCCAGAGCGATGGTTGGGTCGAGGTGGTCCCAAATCTGTTATATCTAAATATTTATGTTTGGTGTTTTAATACCTTATTCCATTATAACTTTAACTTAACTGATAACTTTGCTGACTGTGGTGCCGGATAAATTTACAAAAAAAAAAAAAAAAAAAAAAAAAAAAAATCAAATAATTCAAAACATTTAAAATCTAATTCATAATATTCATATATCATTTCGACATTCTTATAAACATTCGTATAGTAAATCTATCAATCAATCATATATCATATCTATCAATCAATCGTATAGTGGTATACAATTTAACGTTTAGGTTTGCGTAGTGAGTAACCTATGCCAAGGAAAAATCAATAACCCCAAATTCAATTAAATTCCAGGTTTCTTAAAAGCCTCCCGGCTCAAACAAATGGAGAGACATGACAGACCACAGAAATTACACTAAATTAAACAAATGAAACATAAAATACATATCAAACACATTTATTAATTTCGAGAATATTCAAACATATGATAACTAGGTAAACTGATCAGTCCCCTACAAATTAACCTTAAGAGGTAAATTAACATATATATCATTTTAAATCTTATACTCAAGTTAGGTGTACTAATTTTTTTAACATTACATAACTCACAATTTAGGCGGTTGTACCACACGTATATTAATATAGTATCATTACTCGGCTACAATTTAAATACAAAAGACAAAAAAAAAAAAAAAAAAAAAAAAAAAAAAAAAAAAATTCACTCACAGGGTGAAGTTCATACATTCAACATTCAACTCCTATGCCATCATCGACTGATTAATATGAAGTGCTGATAGTTCAACAGATCGTCCTACTCATTGCGTTGACCATTCGAAGAGATCGAGAATGCCATCATCGACGGATTAATACGGAGTTTTAGATAGTTCAACAGATCGTCCTACTCATTTCGTTCACCATTCGAAGAGATCGAGAATGCCATCATCGACGGATTAATACGGAGTTTTAGATAGTTCAACAGCTATTCCAACTGCTTTTAAATCAGGAACGCTAACGCTACAACAAAATCTATATTAAGGTAACCTGGAGAATGTCAAATTAAAGTTCTTGGGAAAATATAACGAAGCAGCAGCAAAGCTATATTTTGCATAAGCACTTAGTCTCAACTCGAGCAAAATTCTCATCAGCTGAAAGCCGACAGAAATTCAAGACCGCCGCCCGCTGGTACACGGCATTCGCGAGAGCAACACCCGCAAAGGGGTCAAGCCCCCGCCACTCGTTTTCTTCTTACTCTTAGCTTGAAAGAATCAGGAAACAGAATCAGAATGAACTCTAGCCTGATGCAAGCACTCAGGAAAACTCGGTTTCTCCGCCTCTGTGAGTTCATAGGCTTTCAAAAAAATCATAAAATTAAATCTTACCAATCCCGGAATTTTATGTTATCTAAATTGAGAAAACGACACACCCATGACGAATCAAACACCAGAAAATCTGACAATGAAATCCGAAAAACATCTGCACACATAACGTGAGAAAAAGAAGTAGACCCCCTAACTAACAAGTGAAACTAGCTTTTACGAGCATCCAATTATCTAACTTAGTACACCTCCCACTGTCTTGAAGTTCGCAAAACTGCAAACTTTAACAAAGCGACAAGACAAACGATTTCCGTTTCACACGCATTAGCTAAAAAGGGCGACACATATACCCTACTGCCTCCATTGTTGGAAAAGGCCATAAACCAGATGGGTGTCCTCGCAACGTATAGTGGTATACCGTCTCTCGCCTTTGTCACAATTCCTACTCAAGAATAATGAGTTAAATAAAACCTTAAGAGCTTAAGAATACTTTTTTCCAGATTAAAATACACATGAATACAAATAAAAATATTAGAATAATAGTAACTTAAAACACATATTAAAAATTGAAATTCGCGAAATAACATATTCCTATTAGAATAATAATAACTTGAAACACATATTAATAATTGAAATTCTCGACATAACAAATCTTGGCCACCAAGATCACCGGATCTCTCGTTTTTCGACATTTTCCTGCGGGACCATATGAAAAACCTAATCTTCAGGTCCCCCAATGAAACCAATGTGGATCTAGTCGCCAGGATCGCCATTGTTGCCGGCGTTATTCGGGAAATGCCTGATGTCTTCGGAAATGTGTGTCAGTCTCCTTTATCCCGCAGGTGTGAAGCCTGTATTACAGCTGGCGGGAGGTCTTGTTAATAAAATGTTTTCTGAAGTACCTTCTCTCAATGTGTTAATTCTTTAAATGTGACAATACAAAACTACCCTTTAACTTCTCACCGCTTGCGTTCTGACTATACATTCTGTGACGAATATTGCTCGTATAACTGCCTTCTATCACCCCCTAAAGTTTTGCCCTCTTGTTCAGATTCACCCTGTATGTGTGTGTATCTCCCCCCCCGGGGGTTTAATCAGGAGAATTTCTGGGAAGTACTGGCTAGGATTTGTACTTAGGCTATCTCAACCACGGAGGTATATAAGTTGACTTCACAGGACTAGAGCTCTAGTTCATTCTAAGGATGGTTGAGGCTTGGCAGGGCGCCTACTGGTACAGTCATGTCTGTTCCTTTGGCTGTTGGGGAGCTAGATCGGAGATCACCGACCTAGTCGACAGGGGTTAGGCCCTCAGAGTCTCAGTGGCGGGAGCTGACAGAGTGGACAAGGCACCAAGATGAAATTTGATGCCGATGGAGTGGTACCCGATGTCATAGCGTTCTCTCTTTGCATTATGGACTTGCAAGCATTTTTCTACCTTGTCCATGACTTTGTATAAAGCCGGGCAGGGACAGTGGAGTCTGTGCCGCCGTTGAAGAGGTCTCAGAAGCTTGGATATATAACCCCAAAAAGCAGACACTAGAGCTTCCCGGGTTGGGGATCCTTCTCTTTTGCGTTCTGTTTATAGATATATGTGTCTGTAATAACTTAAGGAAATTGGATGGGTAGTTGATGCATACAAAGAAGAAACATGCAGATGGGGGCAAATTTACTTATTTACTTTTTTTTTCCATTGTTGATACAGCCCACCAGCGGACGAGCGACAAATTCGCTGAACACTGATAATTCGGTCTGATGTTCAAAACCTGCGAACGTGTTGGCTCCATCGGTGTTTTCGTGTTTCTCGCAATGTGTAACGTGTTAAGGAGACAGTTTCCTTAGAAAATGCTTTATGAAGACATCCCTCCCCTAAGGCAGATAGCTCTGGAGTGCTTTGCCATAATCAAATAAACCAAAAACTATACATGTTTGACACAAATTTTTCTTAACATTTGCAATAGTAAGCAGAAGGAGCGTCATTCTTAAATACTTTTCTCATCGTACCAATGAACTTCTGAAATATATTTTTGAAGTAGGCAGTAATAAGTTGGAAGCGCGAAGCGGAAAAGGAAAAGTGAAGTATTCAGAAGAAACATTTAAGAGAAGTAAAAAAGTTTCTGTTCTCAATTGAAAACTTATTCAGCGCTTGCGTAAAATGTATCTATACCGAAATGTTATATAACAGCGCATGATGTCGATTAATTCTGAAATAATGCAGTCATAGAATTAAGCAATGTTCACCATAGAATTAATAAGTGATGGATTATAAATAGTCAATAATTTTAGGAAAGGAAAAATACCCAATTCAAATGAAGAAGCTATTGCTAATTAAAGTTAGAAGTTTGCTTTACATATTTTTATCTTACATGTACATACGTGAAGTGAATAAAACTCATATGAATTTTTTTTTTATTCCTTAGCCCCTAGAAGTCCTCCTCGCCATGTTAAGGCTGAAGCATTGGATTCTTCTTCTATAAGAATTTCGTGGCAGGTAATTTATGAAATATGTCTTTTATTATATCCCGGTCTGGCATGTTTAGATAGCTATTTGGAGTTTAAAACTTTACAAAACATATCTAAAGAATTGTTAGTTCTGAATTCATGATTTATTAGAGACTCCTAGCCGACATCATTATGTTAATTTATGTAACTTCTCTGGAATTTATATAATTATAAAAAATATTAAGATTATAAAAAGATAATTTAACTAACTGTACAAGAACTGGGAGTAGGAACAAAAAGAAAATTCTTTGCAATTTCGTTCTTATAGATCGCTTTATTAGAAGCTATTATTCGTATAGTTTTACACATGAAAACAACCGTAATTTCAAAATCTACGCATTACTTTTATTACGTTTGATATTTAACTATAAAATATTTTACTGGTTTATACCTCTGATATATGAATTGAACTGTAACATTACGTATACCAATTGTTCAAGTGCAAATAACAGGATAATATGTGATTGCATTATTTAATTAAAATTAAATAAAGTAATGTATAGCCATTTGCATTTAATTATTACTATATAACTTTATTGTTATTTGAGGCATCGCAAAATAATTTTGAAATGAACATATCTTTAGAATTTCCAATAAACAGTCTCGCGCGCTGAAGATAAAAAATGTTTTTCTTTTATTCGCACAGTGTTGCCATTGCTCGCTTTGAAATCGTTGAGTTTGTTAATCAAAAATTCGTTAATTTGAAATAAATAATAACATAAATTCGAAATTCTGGCTTCCAAGTACCCATGTTCGGATGGAGAACAACGTTATTCAAAATTTGATGGCTATAGGTACCGTTGTTTTTTTACAATGCGAGAAACATTGCTGCATATTCTTCATTATTTAATTTCTTTAAACACGAAGAAATACATGACAACAATATTTAGTGGCAACAGTTGGAAAAGTGAACCAATGTAGAAAGTGAAACGACGCAAAATGCCGTGTTGAGACTAATAGCCCATTCGGCCGATTTCCATTTTGGGCTAAAAAGTACTTTTTTGATGAAATTATACATTCTCTACCAAAAATTAAAAGATATAGGAAAACAGGATAAGCAGCTTATAAGATTATTGTGCAGATTACTAGGTTGTTGAAAAACAATTTTCCGAAATTTTTTCAACGGTTACTGAGGATTACCTATAGAGCGTAATTAAATGTGATATAATTTCTGACAGATTTTGAGAAAACGTAGATAAAATTCTTAATCTTGAATACCAAAATGTTAATTCCTTTACTTGGCAAATTCCGTAAGAAAAATTGCATATGAATTATTTACTGAAAGCTAAACACCTATCAAAGATAATTTCTTACGTTTATTTAAAACTTTTAAATAGTATTATATATTTTCAAATTAAATAAAAGCTGAAAATAAAGAAAAATGTTTGGGTTCTAACCATTATTCTTGTATTACTTAAATATGTCTCATTTCTAAAAATGTGAAACTTTCCATTCTTTAAAATGTTTGGGTTCTAACCATTATTCTTGTATTACTTAAATATGTCTCATTTCTAAAAATGTGAAACTTTCCATTCTTTAAAAGCAATCCATTTCTATTTAAACGAATTAATTACCTCTTTGAAAATGTAAACTGATTTGCTTGTTTAATTGTACCATTTAATGAGTCTCATGTAGTTCCGATATAATAGTTAAAAGAAAATATGTTTCTAATTTGAAAATAAGTCTTATAATAGTTAAAAAAAATATGTTTCTAATTTGAAAATAAGTCTTATAATATTTAAAAGAAAATATGTTTCTAATTTGAAAAAAATCTTAATTAATAGTTAATTATTTTGCGTATAATTAGATTAAAAATGAGCGTGCACCTATTATTCATACACTTTCAATTTTAGAAATTTATATAAAATTAATTGCGTGTTTAAATATTTCTTTATCCTTTTTCTAATCTTAAAAATGTTAGCTTTATGAGCTAATTAAGTAAATAATAAATAAGACTTAATTGGCTGTTCAACGTAACCTTTGTCGGTATTTCATTTACCTTTATCGAATAATTGCCTTTATTATCGGTACAGCATTATTCAGTTGAGAATGCTGTTCCATTGTTATTTTCAAACAGAATGTTGGTCTTTTAATGCTATCAGATTTTTTAATACAGTGCAACTCCAATTATCCGAACTCCGACTATCTGAATCGCTGATTATCCGAATCGCTTTCAGAATTTAAGAAAGAAATTAAGACTAAAAAAAATTAAAAGTGTGGCCACATGCAGCTTCTTATTGACAAGCGCATGCGCAACTTGGCTGCCCGAAAACGGTTGAAGACAGGCAAACAGCTTACTTTGAGCGAGATGTTCAGCTAGCAATAACTTTCAGCACTTGTATGTACTCTACAGTATGCTATATAACATGTACGAAATAGAATTGTCTTTGCATTTTAATTAATTCAAACCACTTCGTCTTTAAAAATAGTTTTCTTTTTTTTCCTATTTTTAACATACAGTATGTGCAGTAATTAAATAAAGTATACGTAGGACTTTCTTCGGGAAAAATCCAATTGTCTGAATTTTTGATTATCCCAAATGATTCCGATAATTGGAGTTCTACAGTACTACGTTCCTCATCAACTCACTTATATACTACATTGTCTTCTCATTGTCAAGTCAGGACATATGTAATTCTTCTTTCATACAATTCTGTTGTATTTAGTGTACTAATATATAGTACAGCTGTGCACTATTTAAATTATCTAGTTATTTATGATCTCAGCATTTACTATAACTTCTCTTTCCCATCCCCTCAATAGAAATGTAAATGTGTTTAGAATATTCAGGCTGAGGATTTTGGATGTTGAGACAGCGTTTTCTATTCACGTAGACTCGTTATTTAGTTACTCATATCTGATAAATCTGTATTTATTCAGCTTTGCGTTATTTGCTGCCGACATTTAAATTGATACGCCAGTTAGAGTTTGAGCCAACTTAGTTATAAATTTAATTGTGTGGTCCTCGACTACTGACTACGTTTAATGTGCATTACTTGACTATTTCCTAGGCTACGTTTTAATTTGAATTTAACTTTATTTTCATTTACATCGTCGTAAGTGCTATTTGATGCTGTAAGCACAAGAAGTGCATTTATGTTTAGAATTTGTGTTTAAATAAAAAGGTTTATTTTGAAACCCTACTGAAACTATAAGGTATTTTCTCCCTCCTTTCTGCATGCCTTCCTGGTGTAACGGTAGAACACACGGCGCGTATTCCGGAGATCCAGGTTCGAGACCTGGCGAGAGCATTGCTCATTTTTCATGTACCTCTGCTTCAAAATAGCCTAAGGACGCTACATTGGCACCCGAACTAAAAGATGACGGATGATGATTCTTCACCACCAGGTTCCCTAATCTTCAGTCGCCTTTCAAAAGGGGGGTGGAGTATATAAGTTATTTTCTCCCTTCTATCTGGATGCCTTCAAGGTATAACGGTAGCAAACTCGGCACGTATTCGAGAGGTCTAATTTCGAGTACAAGCAAGAGCATTGCTCATTTTTCATGTACTCCTGCTTTAAAATAACCTAATGAACCTACAAGGCTTTGTAGTTTATTTCAGACATAGCGATAAATATCTTAACATCTGTTAGGGTTTAGAATTAGGTTTATACTCCCAAAACAAGTAAAACTCTATAAAAGTTTTTGCTTATTGTTATCTGATCTGGTCAGGATGGTTAGTGGTAAGTTTCGATTACGTTTCATTCTGCAGGATAACTTTAACGTTTTATGATTTCTTTTATTACTACGCTAAATATATATACATATTTACATATAATTCAGGGATATTCTTAAACTCACTCACATTCTCTAGACTCTCCGATTGTAGATAACAATCGTGCGCCCTCTATCGGCCGCGATTCTACATTGCCATCTATTGTGTGATAACTTTATTATAAATCTTTTAAGCAGAAGCTTTACAAAATGTGTTAAATTAACAAAACAAAGACAACAGCAAGTAACAAAATACATCATTCAGGCCATTTAATACTCCTTATTTGAATTTAGTAAAATTATTTTAATAATATTTTAGTTTTCTCAAGAAAAATTAATGCCATTTTCAAAGAATTATGATTACTAATAATCACGTGCTGTTAGTGGGCTACGGAATCTAGGCTTTTCACCTGAACAATATCCAGTAAACTATTCGGTAACTTTTAAAAGCATACAATGAAACTCCACTTTTCCTCTTTTGAAAATACGCACGCCGTTTGAATTAGGGTAGCTGACTACGTTCGACCCCCAAATTTTGGAAAGTAGTGCAAATAAATCTATTATTGATACTCCTTAAAATGTAAAGACAAATGATCAATATATTACCAAAGTTTTGAATTTTTCTTACATTTTGGCTTAAAAATTTGTTACATTTCAGGATTACTAAATTTGCTCTCAAAAAAAATATTTATCAATATTTTAATTTTATATTTTTCACTTATATTTATTAAAATATAAGGTATAAAATGTACTAAGATCTAAGTGAAAAGGGAAAATTTCTATTAAATATATCTGTTTGAGAACATGCACTAGTTATTTTTCGAGATATATCTCGTATTTCATTTACAAAATTGTCCGAAAAATTTTAGATGGGGACATGAAGCTAAATTTTTAGTCCATTTAGTTCATAATATTTCACATAATATTTGTGGAAAGTTTCGTAAAATTACTGCAGTAATATTTTAGGTATTTTTCATAAAAGGAAATCTAAAAAAGAACCAAGTTTTAAAACAAATTATTTAATGCAATGCAAAAACAAATAAAAGGAAAAGAAAATATTGCTAAGTATGAAAATTAAATTGCAAAACTGACCTTGTTCCGGAGCACTTAATAACAAATAGAAAGGTTCAATATCTTCTCAAATGAAAAATTCTCCTTTTAAAATTCTTTAGAGTAGTCTCTACACATTGAGACTCAGCATCCGGATTCTTAAACAGAAACTTCCGGTTCATGGCGTACAACAAGGTCAGCCATAATTCTGTTTCTAAGCATGGG